AAGAAGTTTTTTCATGTTTCTGTACATTCCCAATAGTCTACCACCTGCATCCACAGAGATAAGAAGGCACAGAAATTTTACCTACGTGTGTCACATTCAATGCATGGTCTCAGCAAGGTGAGTCCACAACAGGTGTACATTTAGAGAACTTCCTTCCAAAGAAGGAAGATTGTAAATTCTGATGTAGCTTTCATGGGTGATTCTGTGCAACCCCTTCATATACGTACTGTACTGTTTGATGTATGGTCAAAAACACACAATACTAAGCTGCAAGTGTGCTCTCATGTGCCCGTAGTAAAACCAAAATGAAGGCATAAGGGTTTTCCCTTAGGACTCTCCACAGTCAAAATCTACGAAAACTACTGCTCCTGTATTTACTTTTATAAATCTTAAAACGTTTTGATGTCTGTTTCACAAGTCATTGTTTCCTAAAAGGTGTTGGAAGTTTTCCCTTTTTTTAAAATTTGATTGAAACTCACCTAAAGTCATCATCTTGGTTTTGTTGTAAATCTTCTTTGCCACACAATGCTGATATCTGTTGTAACACGGAATGCCAGAGTGGGCTCGTCCTTAAGAATTTCATCTGTGTATATTCACGGAATAAAGCCTCTCGATCACTAAAGTTTTGAATACCTGCCAAAATCCAAGTATAACAATATAAGTCCCAAAACAAAGGAAGTCATAGAGGACAGTCTTCTGTGTAAAAAACAGTAATGTAAGTCTACTTTTCAGATTCAGGATATTAAGAAAGGATAAAACCTAAAAAGTAGAAACAGTTACTGGATAAATGAAAGGAGCCATGACATAATTTGCTTTCCTCGAGGTCAGTAAACAGAAAAATGATGCACACAGGACACATGTAACATCATAGAGTACACAGACACACCACATAGTACACAGAAAAGCACAGAGGACACACACCACATCAGAGAGTATTTCACAGAGCAGACACACAACATCTCCGAGTACTCACACAAAGTCACAGACTACTCACCTATTCCACAAAACACACACAATAGGACAGAGTACACACAGTTCACACACATTACACAACACACACAAGAACAGAAAGTACCCACAAAACATCACATAGTACTGTGGGAAGCCAGAGATCGATCAAAACTAGTTTAGGCAAGGACTGTAGTGATTTATCAACACATACTGAACCTTAAGGAATGCAATGCAAGGTATATGATCATAAAAAAAGACTCAAGGAATATCCAACCTGAATCCTTCTGATCACACAAGAATTTTGGAAGTATTTTGTGAACTAATTTTGCTTAATTGGCTGTATTTATTGGATTGTCCATAAAGGATGAAGAGAAAAGAAAACAAGCAAGAATGAATCTTAAAGAAATCATGCTTGTCTTGATGACCATAAAATTATGATTTATAAAAAAAAAAAGGCAAATTGTGGGAATCCAAATATCAAATTTAATTGTAAGAATAAACCAAATGTTATGTCTGGGTAAGAGGGAGGTTGACACAAGCTGGAATTCACGCTGTAGCACTGAGGCAATCCTGAAATGTTTACAAAGGGAGGCATTCAGGCAATTCTCAAGAATCTACATAGTTCTTAGTTTGTATTTACTGAATCCTTCCATCCTGAGTTAAGCATAAGGTCAACAACAGAGTAAAATTCGACCTCATTGGCTAAAGATTTCTCTTTGTGATCTACTTCCCCATGGTCCTTCCTTATTGTTTATTTCCTGTTGATTCTTTATAAAACCACAGAGAGGTGTAGCAGAAGGGCTTCAATTCTCCCAGCTGACAGCCATTTGTCTTCAGGCTTTCTAGCCTCACTCACCATTCCTGTGGGTTTCCGTCTTGGTCTTTTGCTTCAGCCAACAACACCTTACAATCCCACAAATAACACAGAACACACAGATATCACAAAGTACAGACTATATTTTGGTGCAAATTTAAAAGCACTGTTCAAATACCGGGAAAACTTTATGCAGGTTGGGAGGACTCTAAAAGATATAAAATGCTATTTCTACCTATGAAGTCCAGACTTTTCACTGTTTCCATCATCACTTCCATGTAGAGATTCTTCTGAGCAACGCTGAGCAAATCCCACTCTTCCTGGCTGAAGAGGATGACTACGTCCTCAGACAACAATGGCTCCTAAAACACACCAGATCTTCAGGATCAGAATGGCACATTGTCTCACAATGGTTACAAGAACAAAACATGACATGGAAAGAATGAGAAAACCAACCAATGATAGTCAGGGAATGAGACCTCTGACTTGTTGCTTGACGTATTATATTCACTAGTTCATGTTATCAAATAGGACAGATACAGGGGTACGGAAGAGTGAGTGGAAACGGAGTGGACAGATAACAAAGACAGCATTAGATCAGATGAGAGGAAGAAATGTCCAAAAGGAACATATCATTAAGCATTATATGTATACTGGAACAAGGGGTGCATTGCAGAAAAGGATGGGGAAGGGAGAAGAAGAGGGAAAAACATGTAAACTAATGACACAAACATTACAATGTATGACATATTCTATTTTAAAACAATCAAATAAACAAACAAACCCTAACACACCTGAGAAAAAAAAACCAACGAAGTTCCTATCCTATAGCAGCAATTTAATGCTGAGAACCCTTTTATCCAAGACTCACCATTTCCTTGCTCTGTTTTGGGCAGTTCTAAGGTCTTCACTAAAACACCACGAAATTCCTTCAGGAAGGGCCTTCAAAGTGTGAGAGGAACACAAGATAATCTGGAGGCAGATGATTATTGTTTAGCCCACGCTCCTTTCAGTGGCTGAAATTTTCCTTGCAACTTAAAGAAATGTACAATGGTCACTCTTGGTCCTTATCTGTCTGCACTGGACAAGATCTCCTTCAGACCTGAAACAGACAATGAAGAGGAAGGATGTTCAGGCTGCAAGGAGAAAGGTGGCTCACTGAGAAAAGAAAGGCCCAAGATCCACAAGAGGCTGGACACGCAGGACAGCAGGAGCAGAGCCCTAAGACTTGAAATGGGATCCTGTAGTTACCTGCTCATCCTTCAGGACAAATGTAGAGAAAAGACTCTGTCATCTAGTGAAAACTGAAAAATGGGAAACTGAACAAGGATGGAGTTTTTTAAAAAAGAAGGTTTCATTAAGGTCTTTACAAAGTGTTTGCCTCTTGTGAAGTAAATAGTAAAAACACACAGGCTGTTGCCAAAGTCGGGTCTGAAATTTTTGAAATATCAACATTCCTTCCATAATCTATCCTCCTCTCCTCAAATTTTTTGCACGGTTTACAATGAAGAAAAGAACCATGTTTTCCACCACCAACACACTCCTATCATTTCACAAAGAAAGTTGTACAAACCCCTGAAAAGCTGTCTGTACCATTTCTCATTCTCTCCCTGCTAAAGAGTCCATCTGTCTCATAGTGGATGTTCCATCAGGTTTAAATCCTGAAAA